TTGAAGGAAACCAACTGTACGAATCCCTTGAAGAAGAACAAGTGAACTATTGTGCACCTGAAATTATTCAACATCCACAACTTGGATTTAAGGATATCGCTGAACGAGGAGATGAGTATCATTTTGATAATTTTGCTGATTTCTTGTTGCAGCTACAACTACTATCATCATCAAAAGTTAAAATAGCTCTAGTACTTATATTTAATCCAGATAAAGCAATGACATTATTAATTAATGAACTAGGACAGAGTGTGTTAGTAGAAAGTCACTCACATTTAGATACCGGTGCTATTATAGCTACGACTTTGGAAGACCAACTTCATAACATGATTAATTACCGTCAAGAAATGATTTTTCGAGATTGGGCCCTACAGTTCACCCACCATTTGATGTAACTATAGTTAAGCTAAAGTGATATCTTACTGTAAGACTTGTTTAATGTAATATACAACCCTTCTATATAGTAAAGCAATCATATAATAGAATAACAATCATGCATATACACTTATTTGCACATAATAAATATATACCACATATTTATAGCTGAAATATAATTAAAGCATATACATTATTTTATAATATATATAGGACCTGCAGTGCAGAACCATTTTGTAATCTATAATTTATATAATATATTTTTATATAGCTTGCATGTAATAATAATATATATAATAATAATAATAATAATATATAATAACAGTATATAATAATTAAAAAACAGTATATACAATATTCATTAATAATAAAATATAACTTAATTAAACTGCAATGCAGCACCATTATAATAATATATGGTTATTTGCCTCTGTTATTGCATGAGGAGCTTTTAAAGAGAATATAATTGTCATATCCATGTACACATATACTGTATGCTAGGGGTACAACATTCACATACATACTAATGACACCATACATGCAATACTATATTATATAGTATACTACAATATAACCATGCAGGGAACAGCGTGGCAGCATCTTCAAACAACTTAATAAGTGGCATCAAATGTGGTATGACAACTGCCTAAAATAGACAAATCACTTCTGGACATTTTAACCTGAGGGCCTTCGTCAGGAGAATTAGTATGCACTATACCAAGGTACTATTTCTACTATATAAACAATTAAATTATCGCACATGCAACCATGAACCATCTTATCAATTCTACATTTCCCTGTATATGTAGAACCTATGCTTATATATAGCTACATGAATGAAAATCATTTTCTCTTCCTTCTATACTTTTTCTGCTTGAATGAATTAGCTAATTTAATCCAAATTACTGATTGATTAAAATGTATATTATTTAACTAAAAGGTTATCTCTAATTATCTAGGTATGTTCTTTCTTATTAAGATTCTTTCTCTTCATAGTTTCTTTTCAAATTTTCTCTTTCGGGGGGACCCCATAGGCATATGTTTCTTTTCTTGTATACTAGTGAAATAAAAATTAATATAATATAGTTCTCTAGTATAACCAAACCATATATAGGTGCTAACTTTCTTTTTTTCAGTAACTGGCTATGGATTTTTAGTTATGAAACTGTTGACATCACCCCCCCCCCCTATGGAAATTACTGTACAATTAAGGCAACTATAGTTAGATGGTTATTCTTTTAGTGGGGGAACAGAAAAAGATGTGACAATTCTTTGTCATATGCATCTACCCTTCCATGCATAAAATCTCATATTATAGATATATAGAATAGGATAGGTTTGGGTAGGCAAGAAACAAGTGGTGAACAATTTCATGCTAAAAATGCATAGTTATATTCAAATAAACAAATGTTAGAATGGTTGTATAAACATGTTGTACAACAACTCAGTCAAATTACTGGGTGTTTTAAGTTAGGTGGGAAAGTATAATTTTATTCAGCTGCAGTGTCTATATTTATAAGGTCAGGGGCAGGCAATTTAGCTGTTGGTGTGCACTTGTTTGTGCCAACCTCGTACCCAGGGTCCCCGCGTTTAAAGTTCTGGTGACGCGACAACTTGGTGGTGACGCGAGGGGGACCCTGGCAAACTCCGATTGCCAGGTTACCACATAATCCAAAAATCTTGGATTATTTGGTGACCTGGCCTTTTATAGCAACGTCATACCGGGGGGGGAAAAATAGAAAAATTTCACAAATATGGCGTAAAAATTTTAAACATATGTTAGGTGATAAAAAGTTATTCAATTACTGGTTAATACCGAAGATCTTGAACTCGTGATCCGCGTGGAAATGTATAAATCTATATACACACGACATATCGAGTTCTGGATAAAGAAACAGGTACTGTAAATTAAATATCAGGGGCCGGTTGTTCGAAGCCCGTTTAGCTTTAATATACGGTGGTTAAGCTCAAAATAAAAAGCAAGTCTATAGATTCAGCAACAAAACTAAAAGTTTTAAAACTTAATAGAACGTTGATAGTCACAACTACATATTTAGTAAATAATATTTAAGTTAACTGATTCACGAGAGATATGAGTGTTTTTAATTTTGACTTATCCACCGTTTAAGCTAAACGGGCTTTGAACCGCCAACCGGCTCCAGTATATTACCATTATGTAACAAATATATTCTCATGCTGTACGACATATTCTCATGCTACGAATTTGTCTTTCCCATCGCAATTTGCTTTTTATGCTTTTCAAGCCAAATGAAAAGACTTTTCATGTCAAGCCCACTTGTTGGTGTAGCTTGAATCTTGTGTCACTTCTGTCTTCTGTCACGCTTTTGTGAGTATGTGCTTGTGATACCCTCTTCACATCTGAAACATTGTTCAATCTCTGTACAATCTGCTGAACTCCAGCAGCTGCTTTGGAAGCTCTTTCCATTGCCTTCTGCGTTTTGTTTGGCCCCATGGCTTTGACAACATCTTTGCTGACCCGGTTGCAAATCTCCTGTGCCATGTCACAAGCAATGTTTCTACCTTTACCACCATGCCAGTTCACAAATCTGCCCCATGTAAGCCTATGGGCCATTTCCTCTGATGCAAGAGCTTCTATCTGTGCAATACTTGTGAACATTTCAAGTGAATAGTTGTGGAAAGAATTTGATGACTTGAAGTACAAGAGGAGTCTCTTTTTGTTGATGTTGTTTCTCAAGCCATCACCTTCCTTGCATGTATCAATCAGTTGCATCAAGAACACAGCCAGCTCTATCATGTTTAAACCGTAGAATCTGTAAAAAATCAGATATCATTGTTTGAAAACATTTACACCATATACTGTACTTATTATTCAAACTGCCAAGGTGACTAATTATCAGACAAATTGAAAGTTATACTAATAATATGGCTTTTGAATAATAGCTTTTTTAATAAAGCTTGAATTGAATAATATCTAACACTTGAACCCCTTAGATTAAAATATTATATAATATTATTATATAATACAGTACATATAAAGTTTTAATTGTATTTTAATAAGACATGAATACAGTATATTAGAACCAATCACTTTATCTTCAAGTGGTCTATCTGGCATTATACAAAGTAAACAGTGAGTGGCAGAGCTTCCCCACTGACAAATAAAATTGTTTGGGACTAGTAGGGCACACTGTGGTGCATTGCCACTTAATGGCACTTAATGGATTAACTATAGAGATTTTCAGATGTATGGTTTACCCATTAGGTTGAGGAGCTTCCCCACTGACAAGTAAAACCGTCTGGCATTGGACAAGTAAAGAAAAAGTAAGACACTATCCTTTACAAGTAAAATCAACTAGCATTAAAGTAATTTAAGAGTAAATTTAGGCCCAATGCCAGTTTGTGGGCTACCTTATTCTGTCTGGTTCATCATAGCATGCTTGTTCTTCCAAATCAACCTCTGAATCTTCAGTTTCTGGTTGATGGGTAATGGGATCTTCTTTGTTTGGGTCTGGGGTGACAAATTCATCAACAAATGCACCAACAACTGTATTGAAGTATTCCAATTTGGTTTCGTTTTCCATGTCGATGATTCCTGGTGGTGGCACATGTTTTGTTGGTGCCTCTGTGACTTTTTGCAACCCCCAAAACTCCATTGCTGCTTCAAGAATGTAAGCTTTCCCAACACTTAACAGGAACTGTTCTGAGCCTTCATATGAATTGGTAACCTTTTCTGGTGTTACATTCCGTTGATTGTATTTTTCTCGGAAGAACTTCAAAGTGCCTACTTCTCTGACTGATCCAGCCTTGTACAGTAAGTTGTAAACAAACTAAAGATGTAAATTGGTAAACATTCTATTGGTATAATAATAATAATAATATATTGGTATAATATAATACATTAGCCCATTGAGCGGCCATGCACTCCAATTCGACCTGACTTTTTTCTCTACACTGTCTAATGCCGGGCAATTTTACTCAGCAAATGGAGATTCTTGCTGCTTTAACCTATAAACCATACTGAAACACCACATGTAATATTTTTGTATAGAGTTTATAAGGTGGTCTGGCGATGGCCAATAGTTGGCATAAAGTCCACATTTAAGCTGCAGCATACATACTTGCTTTAAAAATTGTTTGGTATTAGACAGAGTAACATCCCCTGGTGTTAAGCCGAGCATAGTTAAGTCATTGCGTTGCACTCATTAATTTAATCAATCAAACTTGCACCAACAGTAGTCAATGGCTGGTTCCCCTTATTAGCTAATCTTAGTACAACTATTTCAGATCTTTTCTCAGAGATGTGAAAAAATAATTTCACATGAATACAATTAACTACCAGACTGAGTATGCTTCTTGGACATGTAATTCCATAATAAAAAAAATATTTGCAAAGTATCATTATACTGTATTATGGTAGTTGCATTCAGCAAATACAATAAGGGGAACCAGCCATTCTAATGTACTTTCATGACATCACATTTGATACAGTATTTACTGAGTGATTAATATTTATCTCAATACCTGTAGGTAGGACATCTTAGTGTGGAATAACTCAGAGACAAATGGACTGCAATGGTCCAGCCTCTCTTTCGCAGTATGTGATCCAGCTCGCAAGTCCTTTGCACCAGCAAACCTGACTTGGGTCATTTGATCACCACCAAATGGAACTGATACAATTTTCATATGGTCACTTTCATCCACCCTATTGTAATGTGCCCTTGGTTGATCTGGTAATGAAGACTGTCCTTCAATTGATACAGGTTGTTGTTCATTCTGCTTAGCTGGTTTCTCAATAACTTCCGCCTTGGTGTAAATATCCTCCAGTTCGTTTTCATAATAATCGAGGATGTCAACTACACTGTACTTTTTCTCGTCTTTCAGCTGCATGGGCAGAGGAACAATAATTGATTTTTCGGACATCTCTTTCTGGTATTTATGGGGAATATGTTCAGGTATCACACTCTTCAGGAATGATAAACTTTGGATACCAGTGACAAGGACTCTTCCAACCAGCACTTTAAAATCTTCCCGTAACTTAATTTCTTCTTCGTCACTAAGTAGGAAAATTGAGTTTGACAGTTTTGTGATATCTCTTTGCGGTGCAGTTGATGAAAGATTTTGGCATGGCACTCTTTCAACAATCAGGTTGGAGGCAAAGTAATGAAGATCTTGATTCTGATGGGAGGATTGCATGTCATGAACATGAATCTTCATGTCCCAGTTATCGCCAGTGCCTTGCAGATTCTTACCGTCCTTGACAGCTTTAACGACACTGTCTGAAAAGTGGCTGCCAATAATATCTAGAAGGTTGGTCTTGCTTTGATGCGACAAGGAGAAACCCATTTTTTGACATTGTCTGAAAAGCTATAATAATAAACAATAATACAAATATAAAATTAAAAATATAAATATAATGCAGTAAGTAGTTTTAATGCTCTGACGTTGTTGTAAAGTGCAATGAAATATAAGAAATAAAAATATTAGAATTATGTTATTTTGCAAGCGCCAATGATTAATTTATATAATGAATAACCAAACGCGCTGACAACGGGAATCAGGTAATGACAAACATGCATGTAAATTACCTCTTTCTTTGCATTTCCATTCGTCATCAACACAGTGTTCAACCGTTGCACCAAACTAAGCTCGCGATTCCTTGTTTGCATTAGAATTGAATAACAAAGGCCAAGTCTTGGGAGGATATCATGTAGATCTTCCTTTGTCTTTTTCATCACCACAAGGAGCAAATCGAGCAAAAACGGACACCGACTTGACATTTCCGATACAAGTTTTTTCCAATCAAATACAGCCATATCGTCAAAACAATTTTTCCGCAGTTCAGATGGTTTGCTTTTCGTACAGAGTTTTATACACTCTTTGTCAAGTTCATGAAGTACGTTTTCCTTGAAGCTACGGGTCAATGAATCAATTGATGCAACTACGGCGGTTATATTTGATGGCACACCAGTTTCTATCACTTCATGAAGCTTAATCTGGTCTTCTTTACTTAGGGATCCTTCAAATGTTTCAGTTAGTATATATTTGAAAATATGCAATTTTAGGCGCTTCCATTAGTACGGCCAGACAGGTCAGATTGTTTGATCTGACATGAAAAATGGGATAAATTGAGAAGCCAGTCAATTTTCGCTTGATAATTGTCGAGAAACCCTAGTCTGACAATCTGGCCATTAAATTGAAAGCGCCTTAATGCTTGACGAAAAGTTCTACTGAATATTTCCACTTTTTCATCATGAAATACTTTGATTATTGTGTAAAATTGAACAAACTACGGTAAATTGAAAATGACCGCGTACCTTAACGCCAGGAATGGAATCCATACCAATTGCCGCCTGGTCTTCTCCGTTTGGATTTCGCTTAAAATGTCCACATTGCTTCTCTTCTCGGTCTGTAATCCGGATTTACTTGGAGAAAACGTAAGACATCTCTTAGATGATGCTTTTTCCCGAATATTTTGCAGCACGGTAATTGCACATGTTTGGAAATCAACTGATTTTGTGAGTTTTCCTTCGCATGATCGGCAGACTTTCAAGGATCCTGCATTACTGTCGTTTCTTCCAACTCAAAATTTGTCAAGGAACATATCAGTTCAGATAACTTCTTTTGTCTACCAACAGCACTGAAAACCTTGGTAAATCTGCTGGGTGATTTATCGTCACCACAAACGCAACAAAAATTGACATTTTTCCATCTATAATATTCTTTTCGAGGAGTAAGTTGCAGCGTAGCCATGCTTTGAGATTTCTGAATAAAATAGGCGTGGCAACGCGCTTTTTAATTAGAGACTACCGCTTAAAAAAGAGATGATTGCGTTTAAAATAGATGTGAACGGGCGTTTAAAATAGAGATGAATAATGGGCGTTAAAATACAAAATTAGAAAATTCTAAAAATAGTAATTACTCCAAGCGTTTATAATAGAAATGACTGATGGGCGTTAAAAATAGAAGTGAATGAATGTTTAAATAGAGAGGAATCCATAGTGCATATACGAAAGTTTGACGTGATACTATAGTTGCATAATTTTCAATTTTAATGAATAATTTTTTTAACGCTATAAATTACGCTTTACGCGTAACAAATTACAATGATCTTTTTCTTAAAGTTAAACAATATCAAATATTGGAATCAATAGTACTGAAAAGGAGAGACACTATCGGAATACTTCCAACTGGCTATGGGAAATCAGTTATATTCCAACTCCTCCCATACGTAGCTGACTATCTTGACAAAACCATGGATGCTAAGAAAGAAAATACAGGCGGTAACATTGTTCTGATCGTTGCTCCACTGAACGCTCTAATCGATAACCAGATCTCCATTTTGCATGAACGTGGAATTGAAGCAACTGTTTTGAAAAGCAAGAGCCATACCGCAAATGAAACTAGTAATGAAGAATGCGAGACTGATACATCTAATGATTGTGAAGAAAATTTTGCAGAACTTTCACTTGACACCACCACAGTAAGGAACATCAAAGAAGGAATGTTCAAAATAATATTCTCTCATCCGGAAGCTTTCATTTCTTGCAAAAAAGGGAGACGACTCCTTATGTCTAGCGTATTGCAGAACAACGTTGTAGCATGTGTTATTGACGAAGGGCACCTTGTTGAAGAATGAAGAGTGGAGTTTCGTAAAGATTTTGCAAAACTATCCCAGTTAGGATCGCTTTTTCCTAATGCCCCATTGTTAGTTCTAACTGCAACAGCGCCTAAACATGTACGAGAAGCGCTAACAAACTCTCTTTTGCTCAGTAATCCGAGGGTGGTAGTTGCTAATTTAGATCGATCAAACATTTTTATCCACAAGCAAAAACGAATGCCAGCATCTGCAGGCGAAGAAAGTTTCAAAGCAATCCTACTTCCCATCGCGAATGATTTGAAGAATCTATTAAGAGAGTATCCACTAACATTGATATATTTGCCACTGAAGTGGTGTGGTTATGCGTTTAAGCTTTTCTCCGATATACTGGGTAAAAAAAGTTATTTCCCTCCAGGAGACGGAAAACCTGAGAATTGCCTTTTTGCCCAGTTTCATTCTCCTCAAACTGAACTAATGAAAAATGAAATAATGAAGCAATTGCAAGGTCCAGACAAATCAAGGTCTATTCGTGTTGTTTTCGCTACAGTTGCAATAGGAATTGGTGTTAACATTCACGACATTAGGCATGTCATTCACATTACAGTTCCAGGAACGATTGAGTCCTATTATCAAGAAATCGGTCGCGCTGGAAGAGATGGGAAACCAGCAAAGGCATCTCTGTATTACAATGGTCACGATATTTCCTTGAACAAACCCGGGATGACGTCTGCAATGCATGGGTTTTGTTCCCAAGATGATAAATGTTTAAGGAAGCTAATCTTGGATTACCTGGGATCACCTTTGGCATTGTTGTCAGTAAAGTTAATGGAGCAACACTCTTGCTGTAGCAACTGCTCAAGAAAGTGCAAGTGCCTGTCCTGCCAAGTGGATGAAGTGGAACTACTAAACGTTTGTCAAGAACGCGATAAACATGTGGAACCTCCACTACGCAATGTCAGTGATGCTTAACGGGTTAAAATAAAACAGCGAATGAAAAAATATAGGCTAAACTTGGGACAGACTGGTCATCATATAGGAGGCATTGACACACGTACAGGTGTTACATTAGAACTCATTGAGTCAATTGTTTCAAAATGTGACCATATTATGTCAGCTGAAGATATGTTTGCGAGCTTTGAAATTTGGGACATACAGCATGCATATACTTTTTTTAAGATAATTACTGACATTTGTGAGAAATAGGTAGAAATGTGAGAAATTTTATATCATACTGTAGTTTCTATGACAAGCAAAGGCATACGAGCCAGGCTGCAGCACCACCCCACCCCCCACCCCCGATTCAGTGGAACATACATTTTTTTGGGCAATATATTTCGGTTTTTCAGGCACAAACATCAGAAAATACTCAGAATAAGAACAAATATAATTGAAATATAATTATATGATTGTATAATTGAATACTATAATACTTAAAACTTTTTCACAAGTACTGTTAAATGCCCGTTTTGAGGCTCCAAGTTCTTCTTTCATGCCAAGCATGGTGGCGCCTTGTGAGATTTCCCCCCCTCGCATATCGAAAACGTTTCTGTGCCCTTGATTCATATTAGAAAATTTTGGTGATGAAGAAAATTTTCGGGCAAATAGCCTCAGCCCCCCCCCCCCCAGTTGAAATTGGCCCTGTACGCCTATGATGACAAGTTCTTCAAATGTTTGCAAGGTGGAAAAATACCACATATATTTATTAATGCAAACTATTCTATCCATATGCCTTGATTATCACTGATGACAATTCAGGCAACTATATATATATATCATATATAGTTTCTGTTTTCTAGTGATCTATTCCTAGTATGTACAGTATAAGACAAATGTGCTCTGAAACCTATTCCTCTTGTAGTTTTGTGCAAGTTTGTGTGTGCACAGTTTGATCTGGGTTGATCATATTGAATATTAAATTGCTGACATATTTTATTCTGAACTTGTCCAACATAAAGTGGGAAAAGGTCCTAGCTTAGAATCTGCAATTACAAAATATTTGGAATGAAAACTGACTTTATATCGTACCAAGCTGCATTGATCAACTGCTGAATGCCAAAGCATGGATGTCTGTAGATTGTACTATATCTATAATAGAACTTAAGTTACTTATAGACCTCCACTGGGAAAGCATTTTGAAACAATCGCAGAACAAGTCTGCAATTGAAGGACAGTTTATTTGTTGACAACCTCAAGTAACTATGTAAGAATTTTGCTGATTATTGTACATCATAATTATATATTTTTTATATCATGAATTATATATTTGAGATTTCTACATGTCTTTTAAAAAAATCTGCTATATCATATAACATATACATGTGCTTTAGAAGTGGTGTTTTCAAACTTTAGCATCATGATAAAAAATAAGGACAAACAAAATCAACTTAAAAGTTTAACTGTATTTTAATAATAAGATATACATACAATTTTATATACACTGAATTCATAGCCTTGCCAGTCACTGTCACGTTCTTAAAGTTGTTGTCTTTTTTATCCAATAATGAGTCCATTAGGCTATAGCTGATGTACCAAACGATTCCTATCGATACTGATTGGACTTTAGAGATATATCATAACCACAGAATAGCCAATCTTTGAATTGTAAATAGCCAATCTTCGAATTGTATAAAATGTGATTGTGATGTGATTCATCTTTCATCTTTTCATGTCAATTTTCATACATCTTCGATAAACAAGATTGCAAAAATATGTAGACTGCTGCTGCCAGTAGGGAAACCAAAGTAAGAAGAATCTTGTAAAAAGAATCTTGTAAGAACGATCTTTGTGTCTATATATCTTTTATTTGTGTTATGTATTTATTTGTCTTCGCGAAGTTTGCTTCTGCATTCTGCACCAGTGTTCTGCACAGAGCCATCACCCCCCGGATCAAAAAGTTACAAATTACGTAATCTCCAAGATTCATGACGTCACAGCATCTGAGTTTGCCAGGGTCCCCCTCGCGTCACCACCAAGTTGTCGCATCACCAGAACTTTAAACGCGGGGACCCTGGGTACGAGGTTGGTTTGTGCAAGAGTTCTAACAATTGTTTATTTCACATGTAATTAACAACCATTGTTGTAAAAATAGTGTTTAGATATTAATCCTGTATAGGCTAGCTAAAAATGATATGGCTATGCATTGTTTGCATGTTTTGCATAATACAACGCATTCAGAACTATTTTCATTTTTTTTATAAATAACAACACATAACGAAATTTCTGCGTAACTAAAATGTGTACATCAGATGTTAATGCAAGCAACATAACTGTATCATTTACACTAGATGTAAAGTTTGACTGAGTTGGGTTCCGCCGATGGCCTACATAGGGTCCGGTACGAGGTTCCTCCGGTAAACTCCTTCAAACCTTACTTGTATTTAGTTAGGATTACAGTTTTAAAAATAAAAAAGAAAAATTTTCAATTGCTATAATTTTTGGAAATAAAAATATGATGTTCTGCAAGTTTTAAAATGCCGCGCGGCAACAGAAAAATGCGTGCATACTGCAAAAATGCTTGTGGATGACATGTCGGTTATCAACTTATCAAAACATTCCAAAGGTATTTCCTTCAAAGAAAACTTTCGTCAGCTATTCGAATCTTCAAACCGCGGTTAAAAAAATATAAAACAACCAAGTTCAATGCCTTAGAAAAAATGCAGTGCAAGGTCTGTAGCCAAAGTAAGAGCAGTTTTCGAAATTTTACAACTTTAAAAACAAGGTCAGGAAGGGTTTTTACGGAACACTGCCCCGTTTGTTTACAAGAGATGAAATTATAAAAAGTTATAACTCTGTAGTTTTTTATTGATTTTCATATAGTATAATAATATGCTTTGGTGGACAATAAATCAAAAACCGATTGCTTTTTGTTGGGATAAATTGGAGGAAATAATTTGTATATTATGTAGGTCTGTTGACAAATTTTCATATTAAAAGCCGTTACAATGTGTCTCCGGCGAGCTGCCAAACATGGGCGCACAATTTCAATAAAGATTTACCCCAAAAAGTCACCTGCACTACTAAAAACGGTCTTGTAGATGAGGTGCAAGGTCGGTCAAGAAGGGAACTGCAGTTTTAGAAGCAATAAGACATCATATTCACTTATGTTAGGGGAAATCACGGAACTCTAACTTTTTGCAAATGTGTAGCTATATTAGTGAAATTAACCAGAACACCAAACAAAATAATTTACAAAACATAATTTAGAAATCAAGGCTGGTTACTTCAGTTCGATATGTTAATTTCCTATTGTATTAAATCTGTGGGATAACATACCTTGGTAGATTATGAGTGAGAATTCCTGAGTTGATTAAGCGAATACAACTTGTTGAACGGACCACCGATAGGAGCACGGGAATTTTTTTGGCTTGCACTTCACAGAAAATCACACCTCTTATACGGCATGCCCTATTTCATGTCAACCAAATTCCTATAACTCGGCTATGGTGCCATTTGATAACCTGTATTCCACCATTACAAAATACCGAGTTAGACCTCATAGTCTTTATCCATAAGAAATAAAAGTGGAAATAAAACAAGTCCTTCGTGCAGGCGTTCTCGTCCCGTCGCACGCGTATTTTCGAGACATTTCTTTCGACGCGATCAAAACATCAACAAAAACCCCAAATCCTTCGATACTTCGAGGTACGAAAGATGGACTACTTTTCTTTTTGTATAAATAAATTTCAAACCAAAACATTGTCCGATTTTTCTACAATCCGGATATGAAAATACTATGTTTTGTGTTTTTTACTTCTTTTCACGCTTTGCCCGCGCTTGGAACAGAAGCCTGAAACAAACCTGAAATGTCCAATACATTCAGCATCAATTTTACTCATAACAATGCAGGGCTTGTCGGTTTAAATATTCCTCAAATTTTGGATTTTTCTGTGCAACTCTAGTTTGTATAATTAAAAAGCATATTTCAAAAAATATAGCAGTTAATATTACGGACAAGGGATTACTTTAAAAATTACATTAGAAAAATGCTAACGCTTTACTGCACATTTATGCAATTTTAATATTTTGCCACCAAACTTTTGTTGCCACCCAACAACGATGTTAATGCCCTTTTGTGGAAGTACGTTGATGATACAACATCTTCAGAAATCGTAGAAAGGGGGTTTCCGAGTTATTCACAAAACATTGCTGATAACCTCGCCCAATGGTCTTCAAATAATAAACTGAAATTAAATGATGAAAAATGCAAAGAATTACGGATAAGCTTTGCAAGAAATCAAGAAGACTTTCAACCGATTTATGTATACGGAAAAGAATTAGAAGTCGTTAGAAGTGCAAAAGTGCTGGGGGTCACAATAACTAGCGACCTATCGTGGAATGTTCACATGAATAATGCTATAAAGAAAGCAGCGAAACGGCTATACTTTCTTGTGCAATTAAAAAGAGCTAAACTATCTCGAAAAGATCTCGTGCTCTTTTACATTACATGCATTCGATCTGTTTTGACTTATGCAATCCCAGTATTCTTCTATGCTTTACCGAAGTACCTCCTAAATGAATTGGAACGTTTACAAAAACGGGCCTTATCAATTATCAACTCAGGAATAACGTATCATGAAGCCCTGTTGGAAGCGAATATTCCCACCATTATGTCATACGGTGAAAAAATATGTAGGGATTTTTTTTTACCAAACTGTGAATGATAAACATAACAAGCTGAATAAACTTTTACCCCCGATTCATGAAGGAGCTCATCAATTAAGACAAAATAGGCATTTCTTTCCAACTTACTAATTTTGTGACGCTTTCCATCTGTATTAATTTTCAAAGTTTGAAATTTTGTTTAATATGGATATGGCTTGCTAGTCATATTACTGATATTTTTTGTTTCGTTGTTTCAGTTATTAATAGCGAATGCCACTGTCCATGTCAGAACATGATGAAACTCTTCTATATGAAACCCTTGCTTGAACACTTCAAAAAGTATGGAGGAATGTCAGACTGTGATAGGTGTCATCTAGTTAAAGTTTAGTTTCTATGTCTCATTAAAATAATGAATATCTGAACAGCTTCATTATAATCAGATGGATATTGTAGGCTATTGTAACTGTGAGAGAAACAATTAGGAAACTTTAAGAAACAGCTTCAGCGACTGGGGCTTTAGAGTCAGTGGTTAAGTAAAAGAAACGGGATCAATAGCATAGTCTAGCGCTTTTTGAGAAACGTTATAATAAAACGTTTATACTAAAATATACCTTTAAAGTGAATAAAATGTAAGAAAACCATAACTCGGAGTAACATTTGGAGGTCCCACCAAGACTATGGAAGGTGATATGTAGAAAAGTCTATGTTTGTCCGAGAAAATACACGAAATTTACGAGATTTGTGGTAATTTATGTACGTGAGTTTATACTGGTTTATGTTTTTCTACAACCGGAGTCTGGGAAACTATTGTTGAAAAATGTCAGAAGAATTGATAATAGAGCTGCAGTCTCGCATGCTGGGATTAAAACAAACCGAATTAGCTCGATTTGGAGAAGAAATGAAATGGATAAAGGCAGAGAAAGGTAGGTTGGAACTGATTACAATGATACGCACAATAGTTAAAGAAGAAATACTTAAGTGTAGTAGCGAACAGCTTGACAATCTATTGGCGAAAATGCAAACTGTGTTAAGGCCCGTCTACACGATGCGATTTTTGCCTACGATTGTTGTATGCAACTTGCTGACGTCATGCCTGCGACTCGAATCGTGCCGTGTAGATGGGCCTACAACTTGCTTGCGACAGTCGTATACAACACAAAAAAGTCGTAAAAATTTTAAAACCTGTTTTAAAATCCTGCGACTTTCATACAATTTTTGATGAAAAAAATAGTTCAAAATGGCGGACATTAACAGTGAGGTGAGAGAATGCGAAATTGGTACGCCTCCTGTACAAAGTGCGACCAAGGCAAAGTCAAAAAAAAAGAAGAAAGAAGGTTATGTTTTTGAAAATGAAGAGGTTGAACTTTTGATATACGCATGGAGTAAGCGAGAAGTTTTGTATGACAGCAAAAATCCAGAATATTTAAAGAAAGACACAAAATTGACAGCGGTTAACCAGCTGATTCAGGAGCTTGACTTCGAGGGTAAGCTGAATTTGAATTATTGACATCTAGTTATTTATAAAACGCGCATTTTTAAATGGCCATATCTGTTTTTTCTTGCCTAGTCCTAGTTTTTGTGATGGAGTTTCTTCCTGTATTAAAATAAATGTGTGTGGTGTACTTTTTTCAACCATATAAGTACACGGTTTTTATATAGTACTTTTCAGTCCTTTCCATTTTATTAAAGGTCTCACAGTAGAAGATGTTGTGAAGAAAATGGCTCGGCTAAAGACATACTATGGCAGAGAACTTGGAAAAGAAAAGGCAAGCAGAAGCTCTGGCCGGGGAGGAAATGAAGTTTACAATAGTAAATGGCCATTTTTTAACATGTTGCATTTTCTGAGGGAAAATATTACCCCCAGAAAAACACAGTCAACGATGCAAAGCGTTGTAATTGATGAGGAAAGTCAACTTTATACTGAACTAGAGCAAGAAGCTGAAGATCTGGTCGACATCAACCCTGCTACCCCTGCAAGTACAAACGAACTTAACCTGTATAAAGTGGATAATCCCCCTCGACTAAATCAAAGAGGAAGAAGAAGCTGGAGCTTGAAGATGAATTAATGGTCAGCTGCCTTCAAGAGATCAAAAAACCTAGAGGAGAAACTTCAGCCGATGAATTATGGGCAAAGTATATTGGTCAACAACTGACAAAGGTACCTGAAGGATACCAGAAAGAGTTGTTAAAATTAGAAATTCAACAGCTCATTGTAAAAGCTATGCATAGTGTTCCATCAAGATCAGCACTGGTAGAACTTGATGAAAATATACTTTAATAAAAAACATTTTTTACACCTTGAGTATGTTTTTGAATAAATATTTAATAAACTGTATTGCATATATTATTTAATATTAATGTACAAATTTTATTTTTATGATGGTATAAATAATAAAATTGAAATTTCTCAACTATTATCACAATGACATTCCCATTATTAAAGATTAAATTTCCCTGCAGGCTTTAGAAGGTTCTTGAAAGTTTGCTCAGACCAACCTTTGAGTTTACAAACCCCCTCAGAGCTTGTGTGGATATTCAATCAGTAATTTCTAATATGTTGTAATATTATTATACTTGTATTAATATAATAAGTGTTTTTTTCTTGATAGATGATTTTATAATTATGCAAATGCATGTTTAACAATTATCAAGCAATAAATATATTAAAAACTTGAGGGCATGGATGCTTTGATACTGCATAGTCATATATGTTGTCAAATCAAGGTGTTCCATTGCCAAGGCACTTGGCCAGGTCCATTAAAATGTTCACAAAGAATTTCTCGCATTTCCTCAGCCTTAACAGCTGGTCGGCCTTTTCTGGAATTTGGAAACGATGCTAGGTTGCTTCCTGCATCATCAACTCTCCAACTGCCATCTCTTGTTTTGCCAAGGTGATCCTCATCAACTGACCCCTTAGGTATGTACCTGTTTGGCACTTTTGCTCTCAGAAAATTATGAAGTGCTAAGGTTGCAAGTATGACCTTAACGGCATTATCAAGCTTAATGGAAAGAACAGTAGAATACACTCTAAATCTGTTCGACAAAATTCCAAAGACACTCTCACTAACCCGTCTCCCCCAAGAAAGCCTGTAGTTAAAGATACGTCTTTCTTCAGAAAGGCCCCGTTGTGCAAAAGGCTTCATGACATTTGTCTCAAGTGGAAAAGCATCATCCCCAGCAAAGAAGTATGGGATAGGAATATTTGAGTCAGGATGAAATAAAGAAGGTGAAGAGGGAAGAGGCTTAGGTTTGGGTAGATTAAGTTTACCATTGACCAACTTAGACCAGAACAGGGTATTCCTCATTACCCCACTATCACTAATCCTACCCTGGCATCCAACATCAGCAAATATAAAGTTATAATTTGCATCAACTACAGCCATTAAGACAATGCTGTAGTAACCCTTATAATTATAGAAGACAGATCCACTGTTGTGAGGATGCAGAATTCGAACATGCTTTCCGTCAGCAGCACCAACACAATGTGGAAGTTGCCATACATCTTCAAATCCAGCAGCTATTGCCAACCATTCTTCTTCATTCTCAGGGAAGTGTTGAAATTCCTCTTTCAAGGCATCAAATACAGCCTGGCATACTTCTGGAACAATGAGGGAAATAGATGATATTGAAATTCTGAATTGGTAATGCAAGCTGGAATAGGACTTTCCTGTAGCCAAGAATCGTAAAGTCACTGCCAGTCTTTCCCCAGCTGGTATCGCTTCCCTGATATTAGTGTCCTTCCTGGTCAATTTCATCTCCACTTTTTTCAGCAAGAACTATGTGAAAATGTTTAAAAACAATGTTTATAATGAGTGAAAGTTTGGGGGATGGTTAATTCACAACACTGACAAAATAACAAAGTAAAACTTATACTCGACTGTGATTAAATAGAGTTTATCAAAGGATTTATTGGCGACGTTCGACGAGTTAGCTAAGCGACTTCAGAATGAGTGCAGTAAAATTATCCAAACCGAGCTCTCGAATGTGCAATTTGAGGTAAAATACAGGTAGCTACCTTATTCGCCATACACTTGAACAAGTGAATTCGTCAAGGAAAACTTTAGTCGCATGTGTATGGCTTCATAAATCTATCTAAATTGTCAGCAAACACATACCTCAAATGTTGACATGCCCATTCTCAAGTATTGACGATAATGTTCTGTGTTAAGATAAACATTAATATTCCGATGACGTCAGTCTATCTGTGAACACGTGTCATGATCACATGAACACTAGCAATATAAAGTTTTTGTTTCTTGTAGTTTTTAAGTTAGTTGTTAGTTGTTAGTTGGAACTGTTACTTGTAAGTTGTATAAGTTTTTGTTAATAAATATTGTTATATATAAGTCTTCCACCGTCATGAGTTTAACAGGTTATGGGCCCAGTCACAGTCACGGCCGCTTATTGTTCGACGGTGATGAACGAAAGTACGAGTTATGGCAAGGAAAGTTTCTAGGGTATCTAAGGCTCAAAAATTAAGCGATACCATACAAGGACCATTGGCTGATGATGCGTCTGAAGAACAACTACGAACAGACGCAACCAAAAACGCGGACGCATTTGCCGAACTGATACAAGTACTAGATGATCGGAGTCTGTCGCTAATTACCCGAGACGCAGTGAATGATGGACGAAAGGCCCTGGCAATCCTGCGTGAACATTACTTATCGAAGGGCAAACCATGTGTTATATCCCCATACACTGAACTAACCTCTCTAACGAAGTCGAGAGAAGAATCTGTGACAGATTACATGCTGCGGGCAGAGACAGCATCCACATCTCTAAAATCCGCTGGGGAAACCATAAGTGATAGTTTACTGATCGCGATGATCATCAAAGGACTACCTACGGAAGAGTATAAAGCGTTTTCAACTGTGGTAACGCAAAGAGACAAAGAACAATCTTTAGCGAGTTTAAAGTCTCATTAAGAAGTTTTGAAGAAACCCAAAAGCTATCAGAAAAAGGAAACCCAAAAGAAGATAGCGTCTTAGAAGTTCTCGGTAAATCTGGCAAGCAAGACAAAGGAAAAATCATCTGCTATGGGTGTGGAAAACCGGGACATAAAATTTCAGAATGTCTTTCAAGAAACCGCTGGTGCGCTGTTTGTAAAAACAACACCCACAACACGGAAAGATGCCAAAAGAAGAGGACAAGGAAACCGACAAACGATGCCTCGAAATTCGTAAGAAATAATAATTATCATGATAGTGAGCATGATGATCAGTCATATCTTTTCGGAGTAGGTGTTGATATAGATAATATTGATAAGGTTAATGGTATATTAGTTGATTGTGGGGCTACAACACACATAGTGCATGATCTTAGCAAATTTGTTAAGTTTGATACGCAATTTAATCCTGAAAGGCACTTCATTGAGTTGGCAGACGGGAAAAGGTCAAACAACGTTGCGCAGAAAAGGGGTGATGCTGAAGTGGAAATCTGTGATGTTGAAGGTAAAACACATAAGGCTCTTCTTAAAAATGCTCTTTATATTCCTTCTTACAAGCAGAATATATTCTCAGTCCATGCCGCAGTTAGTAGGGGTGCCACTGTGAATTTCTCTCCTAATCATGCTAAATTAGTTAGTCCAGATGGTACAGAATTTAAAATAGAACAGGAAGGTAAGTTATATTACTTAAACAGCGTAATCTCATCTGGCATGTCAAAACAGGATAGCAAGTCTACGTCTTTGAAGGATTGGCATGAAATTTTAGGGCACTGTAATCTGAATGATGTTTTAGCTTTGGAAAGTGTAGTTGAAGGAATGAAAATTGTAGGAAAGAAACAATTTGATTGTGGAACATGTGTGGAAGGAAAAATGACTCAATGTAGAAGCAGAAAGCCAGACAAGCGAGCTAATAATATTCTGGAATTAGTTCATTGTGATTTAGCCGGCCCGATAGATCCTATAGCAAGAAAAGGTTACCGCTATGTATTAGCTTTTGTAGACGATTTTTCGGGTATGATTATGATTTATTTTTTATTCAATAAGAGTGACTCGTTAAAGGCAACTGAGAAGTTTTTGGCAGAAATAAGTCCATTTGGTAAGGTTAAGCGCATTAGAAGTGATAATGGCGCGGAATTTACTTCGCAAAAATTTCAAGATCTTCTAATTAAACATTGCATAAAACATGAGAAATCAGCTCCTTATTCGCCGCATCAAAATGGCACGATTGAGTGTAATTGGAGATCACTATTTGATATGGCTAGATGCCTATTAATTCAGTCAAAGTTGGCAAAAACATTTTGGCCTTACCCACTTAGGACATCCGCATACATTAGGAACCGCTGTTATAATCCGCGAATAAAGCAAACACCGTATCAAGCTTTCACACGGCACAAGCCAAATATTCAGAACATGCATATTTTTGGTACCGTTTGCTATGCATACAAACAGGAAAAGAAGAAACTAGATGCGAGAGGGGAACAAGGAATATTTGTTGGGTACGATAAGGGAAGTCCAGCTTATCTAGTATACTTTCCCCAAACCGAAACTATTAAACGTTGCCGTATTGTCCGTTTTTCTGATAAATTTGAAATTGTAAGCGATACCCCAAAACAAACACATGAAATGACTGAAGAACCAATGATTGTCAACATGCCAATAAGCAGTGAAGATGAAAAACAAGTTGAAGGGGATAATACTAACGAATTGCCTGCAACTAATCAAAGCACAAACAATGAGCAAACTAATACAAGCAGATATCCCAGGCGTGAACGCACAAAACCTAAGTATTTAGAGCAGTTTGTTGATGGCGATGAAATTGAAGAAAACGAACTTGTCAATTTCACAATCGATTACTGCTACAGAATAACAGATGCTCCCAAGTCTTATCAGGAAGCAATGTCTTCCAATGATTCTTCCAAGTGGCAAATAGCCATGGAAGATGAAATGCAAGCCCTAAAACATAACAACACATTTGAACTAACGAAACTACCAGAGGGTAAAAATGCAGTGGGGGGAAGATGGGTATATGCCATTAAGAATAATCCAAATGGAAAAGAAAGCTACAAGGCACGCTATGTCGCAAATGAAAGTATTTCTGAAACGTATCCTAGTAGAGTAAACTCAATTTTTGTAAATAGTTATATTTCTATCAATGTTAATATTATATGTTTAAGTGGGGGTGTTAAGATAAACATTAATATTCTGATGACGTCAGTCTATCTGTGAACACGTGTCATGATCACATGAACACTAGCAATATAAAGTTTTTGTTTCATGTAGTTTTTAAGTTAGTTGTTAGTTGTTAGTTGGAACTGTTACTTGTAAGTTGTATAAGTTTTCGTTAATAAATATTGTTATATATAAGTCTTCCACCGTCATGAGTTTAACATTCTGTGTCTTCAAGGCGTAATTCTTTTATTAATTGACGAAAAACACCGCGTTCATTTCTCTTTAACCATTCTCTGGTCCACATAGATCTTCCTCGCCTTTTTCTCCTCTGTTTTACGATAAGCGGAATACTTATAAGCGAAGCAAGCTTTTTAGTCTCTATGCTTCATTGCTGTGTTTGAAAATTACAATTTTGCAAATTTTGCAACTTTTTTGTTTTGAAGTCGCACACGGTAATAGGCGGATTCAGTTTCATATGCAAATTACCCATTTCAATGTTTATGTGTAATTTTGACAGATGTGATTTCCTGTTAGAACACAATAATATCATATGTGGGCACAATGCAACATGTTCTGATTACTATATTATTGCCAAATATACATCTGTCAAAATTACACATAAACATTGAGATGGTAATTTGCATATGAGGCTGAATCGGTCTATTGTGTCGTCTAGATAGACAGTGTAAATTCGCAGGCATGACGTCAGCAAGTTGCATACAACAATTGTAGGCAAAAATCGCATCGTGTAGACGGGCCTTTAGACAGCAAAGCAATGAGTGAGAAAGAGAAAGGTGAACAGGAACTGAAACAGCTCAAAGCACAGTATGACAAGTTATTAGTAGAGCAAGAAAAACTTAAAGATCAAATAAATACTGCCCAAACCCAAAACGAAACAGTTGAGAATATAACAATGGTTGGTGAATCAGTAAAACAACAGGACAATCAACAAAGTTCATATCTTAACTTGAAAACAAGCATGCTACGTTGGGAATTCAAGATACAAGGACAAATTGGGAACCAGGACCATAAAGACAAGCTAGCATACCAGTCACTCGTTTCACAGATTGAAATTGGGCTTCAAAAGGGTTACTCAGAAGAGGACATTACTCATGATGTAGTTAGAGCTGTTCAGGCAGGGTTACAATTACGAAGTTATTTGGAGGGGATCAATGGGTTGACTTTACCATGTTTACGTAAAATACTGCGCTTTCACTATCAAGAGAAGAGCGCTACCGAACTCTACCAGCTTTTAGCTAATATCAGTCAAGCCCCAAAAGAAAGTCCTCAAGAATTCTTAATAAGTTCCTTGACGATTAGGCAAAAAATTGTTTTTGCATCAAAAGAATCGGATACCAAGAGCAAATATGACTAAAGTCTTGACTAAGGTCTTGTCCAAGGCCTATTCTTGCACGCCGTAGAAACTGGTCTTGCTGATGAAACCATTTGGGCAAAAATGAGACCACTTCTTAAGAATGAATCAGTATCTGATGAAGAACAAATTGAACTAATGAGCTCTGCAATGGCTGCTGAATCAGAAAGAGCCACAAAGTTCAATCAGGGGGCTTGGGCGAAAGCCTGGACCAAAGTCTCAAAGGTAGAAGCTGGGACATCTTCAAAACCAGTAGAGCCACCAAA